GATGAATGAACGGTAGCCGGCGCGCGCTGATGACGTCATACACGCACCGCTTTGTTTTTAAAAGATATAAAAGATATGTTCTGAATGCTGGTGTGGCGAACATGATGGAATAACGGAAAATCAAGGAACCAATGAAAAAAAAAAAACACGGCGTTCCCCTTTAAGTAGAAATGTTGGCTATCTATACTCTACAGGAGCCATTATTTTTCCAACAACTTCTTACTTTCTACTTCTTACATTTTTTAAAATAGAGATTAATTTTGTTTCATTTAAGTTCCTTTTTTTTTTGAAAAAAAAAAAAAAGAAAAACCATCAAAATAATGATTTTTCATCCAGACAATGAATTTCTCTGTGGTTGGACTCGGTGCTGCCCCAGCCTGTTGCTCACCACATACCAAAATAAATAGTTCATCAAGATGATGCAAAGTTAAATGTGACTCTGTTACTATTAGTTATAAAACTAAGAAAATTAATTCTAAGGAAATTATCATCCAGAAATGTAGAAAAATGTTCCTTTAATAGAGTAGAGCAGTAAAGCTTCTGGCCTTAACAGTTTTTTTCTGCATTACTTTGACTTTTATACTTGAAGTAGTTTTAAAAATGGTACAGAGTAAATTCTGCAGTGTTAAATATGTCGTGTCAAAGTACACTGACTCTTTTAGAGTTATTACAACAACAACTGGAGTAAGATATACACTACATAGAGTTCTAACACTAATTCTGAGTGGGACCAATTGGACTCTTAAAGTGTTACTTTAACACTGAAAATTGACTGTGTACTTTTACAGTTTTACTGGAGTAAAAAGCTGAAGTTGATTCTCTAACTTCTATAAAAGTGTTTTTAAACAGCTGGATTTATACTGGAGTATCTGAACAGCGTTGAATGACGGCCGTTTGCTTCCCTCAGCGCTCGGTGCTGTTGCAGCTGTACGGATCGTCCCCGGAGGATCCGGAGGTCAGGATCGCTGCGTACCAGCAGCTCATGCTCTGCCCCCACCAGGGACTGTTTGAAGCGGTGAAGACCACTCTGAGCAGCGAGACGTCCAACCAAGGTCTACTGTTACGGAGTGACTTCTGTCCCGTTATTACTGCAAATAAAAAACACATTTTGTACATTGAAATTTGAGAAAAAGTTTTTGAAAAATGTCAAAAAAAAAAAAAAGTTTTTAAGGGGAACTTTTCTTTCTTTTTCAAATTTAATTTTTTAAACAAAATATCTTACAGAATTTATAATTTTCACATTATTACCCATTTTATTTGCAGATTTTATGTTATATATATTTCTTTCAGATTTCAGTTTTATAGACTGAGTTTTATGTAGGGATGCAGGATATAAT